ACATGAGAAAAGAGGCTCATTGTCGGAGCACATCTGCCGTGCGATCGCGTTCGATTGTCCAAGAGAGAGAGAGAGAGAGGCTTAGGAAAAAAAAAAGTAGCTTAGTGGCCCTGGCTGCTGGAGGGGAAGACAGGCGCGCGCCAATTGCTCTGCAGCAGAAAATGACGTCCCATCGCTGCCGCGGTCGAAAAGAGCGAGAAAGAGAGGGGGGGAAAAAGGTACAGTGGTCGCGTGCGCTGATAATACGTTATGGTAAACGGTACACCGGGGGGGGGGGGGTAAAGGTGAATCGGGAAAAATCGAAGAGGCACACGGGATGGTTGTACAATCAGAGGCCATTAAATATACAACCGTCTATACCCGTGCTGCTCGTGAATTCTCGATGAAGCTGAAATTACTTTGTATACGCCGCCGGTATAACGCATCGAGCTCGTTTGGCGAAAGTTTTTCACAGCAAGCGCACTTACGGGTATACACCTCCAATCGCTCGGCTAATTAATTCTCGACTGCATCGGACGATAGCCCCACCATGTGTGTACGTCCCAGCGCCAAGTTGACTCGCGTGGAGAAACTGTCTCCCCGTAATTGCCGTTGACTCTCGACTATGGCACAGCCGTGGAGGATAGCAACAACGGGGGCACAACCGCGTGCTAATTTAATATTTTAATTGCCGTTAGAGTTGGGTGCCAAGGCGCGAGAATGTCACTTGGCGTGCGTTAATCGCGCCTAACAAGCGCGAGTGTACATCCAACGAAACGTGCACACGGAAGTATCAAAACGAAGAATAAAGTGGTTAACGGGTCTTAATTACTAATCGGGAGGGCAAACCCCAAAGGGTATACGAGGCGACACCTTCCCTTCCTCCCGTCAGCCGCGTTCTCTCGCCTCTCTGAATGGCCACGTGCCCCAAGACACGCGCGCCTCCACCGAGTGCAAGATGCGTACACTGCAGCTTTCACACCTCCCCTATATACGCTCTTTCTTTTTTGTCGTGAAAAACCACCCTCAGTCGCGCGCGAAACTGCACCAACCGAGTCTTTGGTTCGCGCGGCACCACGGCCGCGTTGAGACTCGCTCTAAAGCGTCGCCGGTCAGGGTGTGGGACTTGATTACAAATCGCCCTTACGGAAGAAACTTCAAAGGCCCTTCTCGTAGCTCTGTAATTAGATTTTTCGCGGCTTGCCGTACTTTTGCGGTAATTGAAAGAGATCTTTGTACCTACTTCGAATGTAGGGATTTTGATGCTTGCAGTAAAAAATATATCAGAGTGTTTTGTTTCAAGGTAAACAACAAAAAATTGCATAACGCATAAAGTATCGAAAAACAAAAAAAAAAAAAAAAAAAGTTTGAAACGAAATTTGCACCTACATCGGAGCCACTTGGCCGAGGAGTGGAGAGGCCCGCCCCTCGTCTTTCACTCCCGTGGGAAAGTTGCGGGTATACGGGAAGAANAAAAAAAAAAAAAAAAAAAAAAAAAAAAAAAAAAGTTTGAAACGAAATTTGCACCTACATCGGAGCCACTTGGCCGAGGAGTGGAGAGGCCCGCCCCTCGTCTTTCACTCCCGTGGGAAAGTTGCGGGTATACGGGAAGAAAGCCGTGACATCTCGGCGCGCCCAACCGACTCCGGAGTAAAGGGCAATAAGCCTGCGACTTCGCACTCATTGTCAAGAAATAACCGTTGAAAAGAGAAGGGGGGACCGGCTCCTTGTAAGAAACGGCCGATCTATGAATGGGAGTTGAGAAACAGGGGCTGCTCTCTCTCTCGCTTTAGGGGTGGGAAAGACTCGAGAGCGTCTCGGGGGACGAGAAGAGTCGCCGAGCTAACGGAACAAACGACTTTTTGCCTTACCTGGGAAGGACCGAGAAAGAAAAAAAAAAATCCCGTAACCGCTCTGGCTCCCCTCCTTGTGGCACGGAAGAAATTTACCTTCTCATAAACCTTGCATCTCGAGTTGATTAAAATTAATTCCTACTGCTTTGAAAGAAAAAAAAAAAAAAGGGTCGAGCGCGTGTTTTTTTTTTTTTTTTTATAAAAAACAACAATCCTTTTTTTTATCGCGACACTCGCACGTGACAGAGTCGAGACTGGGTGCATCAACCCTATTAGCGGCACCCGCGCAAAGTAGCCGACTGCCAATTACTCATTGTGAGTTGTTCTTACACCTCCCGGTGTGTGCACGGGTCTTCTTCGTCGTGGCGTCGCAGCCCAGAGGCAGAAGGCTGTATATATGTATAGGCACTCCGTCGAGCCGCGGGACAATGGGAAAAGTGAAAAGAAATGAGCAAAGGGAGGCGAGGAGACGATGCCCGCCCGTCCTCCTAGAGATAATAGTCCAAAGCTTTAAAAGAGAGGCGCGAGAGCTTGCGCTCCGTAGAAAAAAAAAAAAAAAAAAAAAAAAAAAAACACTAATTGTTTTCGCGCCAAGGAGAATCTTTTTCTACTTATATCTTCCTCCCCGGTGCTCCCGGCGAAACAAAGGGGCCCCGGCTCGTAATTAGATGCTAATAATCGAGCCCTTTGCCGTTGTAGGAGGCTCGACATCTCGGGCCTCGCTTCGGTGGCCCGCAAGAAAACGACACGGGGCTTATTATCCCCGGCATCCTAATTACGGGTTTCCCGCCGATCCGCGGTATTTCTCGCGCGGCGTATACACAGCCGCTCGTGCGCGTCGACGGCACTTGGAGAGCTGATGCTTGTGCCCTGTCAAGAGCGGCAATCCCGGCACTTGCGTGGTGCTCGTCGTGGCCACTCGCTCCCGTTTTTTTTTATTACTTTCACGCACTTGTCACTTGCCTGATGGCATGCCGCAGCATCGCGTCCGCACAAAAGGCACGCGAGAGGGGTTGCCTCGAGTCTTCCTCCGAATCTTTTCTCTCGCTCCAAGCATCAGCCACCACGAGAACTCCTCCTCCGCGGGTGTCTGCTTTAATTAGGCACTTGGCGACACGCGCCAATACGTATACATACGCGCTGCTCTCGACAACATGTATCCACACATCCACCCATCCACCTGACACATCATACGTAAGTATACAATACGCGCGTTGGCGGGTAATCCATGAACGGTATACGTGGCAGTTGGATAACCGGTTGACTGGTTAAGGATCATGGGCGCAAGTCGAGAGGCTTTTTTCTTTGGTACGCCAAGTACGAGCGATATCGACTGAGCAGTGCGGGGTGTATAGATGTACGCGCGACACACACTCGGAAACGTGGGACGGGATAAAAAGTGAAGGAAAAAAAGAGAAAAAAAAAAAAATCAACGAGCCATTGTTCTAATTAGCGTACACGTGCTCGGAGATAACGGACGAAAGGTGGAGCGCGAGGACGCGAGAGCACCCAGCCGTAAGAGGCTGCATCTGGTGCTCCGGTTGTTGCTGTTTTCGACGCGCTCTCTCGTGCTCCTTCTTTTATACACCCGAGGGGCTTCTTTGGATCATCGCGACCTCTCGAGCTATGCATATCCGCCCAACTACACGTTAACCAGAATCGGTGAAGCGCAGCTGGAGGAAAAAAAACAACGCCAAATCAGAGCGTCCTCTCTTCTTTCTTCGAGTTGGAGGAACCAGTCGCTCGGAAGTTGATCTGCCGAGGAGGATTTCCGTGCGACGCTCGGCTTTACTGCTATCGGGCATCATCGCCAATGCGTATACCTAGGAGGGCTGTTATGCAACGGCATAACCATTTCACCTGCGTTGACACCCTCGACCCCTTCATTACATGCTTACGTTACCCATGTAGCTCGTGCACCAAGACTTGGAGTACACGGTCGTGGAAAAATTTTTCTCTCGCTGTTTTCCCGACTGCTTAAGACAGATGATGTGCATCCCGTCCACGTACACGCGCATCGCGAGGGGAATGAATGCAAGCAGCGTCGAATTGATTCGCTGGCTCGGCTTTTTCTGTGGCCTCGGGCACCGAGACGCGGATAAGAGAGTATATACACGCGAGTGCATGCTCCCCTTTTGCGCGAGATAAAAGAGAGAGCTCTCTGCCGATCCTTTCATTTTTCTTCTTCTTTTTTTTTTTTTTTTAATTTTTTNTTTTTTTTTTTTTTTTTTTTTTTTTTTTTTTTTTTTTTTTTTTTTTTTTTTTATTTATTGTCGCTGTGCTGAAACGAGAGTAAAGATTTTCGATGGCATTCCTTTTCCTTTGTTCGCGTCTAGGGGGATGGAATCAGTGTTGCCCTTCGACGCCTTCGCTACTGCTCGTCGGTAGGGATAAACAATAGTACAACATATTGAAAAATCCATCTATTCCTTGGAAGACATGTTCGCCCATTATTATTTTGGGGGAATCCATAGGGGGTTACAAATTTGGGTATAGATTAAGATAAACCCCGAAAAAGAAAAAATAACGATAAAATGCCCTGCAACTTTAAAATAAGAAGGTATAGGTATCCTTTCAAAGCCTCGCCCCCCATCGTAAGTCTTACAGTTTTTACTCGCAAAATCCATTAATTAAATTCTACCTGACAGTGGTGCAGGCAGGAAAAAGAAAACATCTGGTCGCTCGCTCGCGCGGAGACTTGTCTTTGGAAAAACGTGCTTGAAAAGAAGAAAAAAAAGAGTCGACCAAGCGAGACATATACCTATATATGTGCGTGCACCGAGGAGAAATCGTCTCTTCTTTCAGCCCGCGATCTCGACGCTTTCCACTTACGTTCGCCTCAATCAAAAGTATGGCATCGATCCTTAATTAATTAGCATCAGCCGCACCGGCGTGGCTGCTCATCTTTTCTCCGCTCTTGTACTTTGTTTTTCGCTCTTTCTCGACGACTCGGCGAACTGTGAACTCGAAGCTTACAACTGCAGGGGGAAAAAAAGACTAATAAAGTACACACACAGCTGCAACCAATAACCGATAATTATTTGCGCAAACGAGACATTTTTTTTTTTTTTTCCAACCTGTCGTTTCTCGCCGTTGACGATGATACGAATGAAATTCAATGGGCAAAGATGCGCACTCGTTAATTTTTACTTTTGCGTCTGATTGCAGAGAATTCTACTACATACAGATGGAGAAGTACGCGAGACAGGCTGTCACGGAGGGCGTAAAGGCAATCGAGGATCTCCAGGTCGGCGGTGACTCCGAGATCTTCAGGGTGCTCAACCTGCACTACAACAGAAACAACCACATTGAGGTATGGAATCCCCAGATGCGCAATCACACGACACACGCGTGCAGTTCTTTTTTTTTTTTACCCCTCTGAAACTTTTGGTGCAGTTTAAAATAATTAAATAACGCATCCTTTACTCAAACTTTGAAACCTTTGAATGATATCCCAAGAGTGTGTTGTCGTATTGTGATTAATGTCGATTACACCGAACTCTCAACATCGTCAATGTTCGTTGTAATACAACAACAATAAAAAAAAAAAAAATAAATAAAAAAAAAAAAACAGTAAAATAATATCAAAGTTACTGTCGTGCATTGCAGGTGCCACCGAATTTTCGATTCGTGGTCGAGCAGACGCTCAAGGAGTTCTTCAAGGCGATCCAGGGGGGCAAGGACACGGAGCAGTCGTGGAAAAAGGCGATCTACAAGGTGATCTCGAGGCTGGACGATCCGGTGCCCGAGTATTTCAAAAGCCCCAATTTTCTGGAGCAGCTCGAGTGAAGCGAGCGACGTCGCTCTTCGCGGTCTTCTCAAAAGTTACCTTTGCCGACGGCAAGGAAGGTCCCTGCCGTCGTCCGGTAATGCAACCCAACAGTCATTGTCCAACGTCACGTGCGCGATTGCTACACGGAATAAAATATAAAGTATCGTGCGCGATATAAGAATGTGCGGGAACGGAAAACGGATGAGTATCGAGGAAATAAGTATCTTCACGTGGGATGGATTGATAAGTGTGTATACGCGAGAGCGAGGGATCCAAAGTCCCCTCCCCCTAGCCTAACCTATCAATTATTACCAGCCGAGCCAGAGATATGAGGTATCCTTAGTATAGTCACATATCGAAGCTAACAAGCCAAATAAGCGACGGCGAACGAACGGCAATGTTGTTGTTGTTGTTGTTGTTGTTGAGTCTCTCGTTGGAGAAAAGGAAACAAAAGGTACACAACGACACCACGACGATAATAATGATAATGCAATCGATGATGCCGAAAGATAGTGAGAGAGAGCCAATATTTTGTTGGAGAGGTTCCTTCGCGGAGTAATTGCACTCCACCTGAAGGATCCGTACGACGTTTTGAGGAGAAAATCGAACGGCATCGGTTGCAGCGTAGCTCGAGCGAGTCCTTGAAGGACGAAACACATGTGCCGAAGCAGAGCAGTGCGTGTCAATTAAAAAAAAAAAAAACAGAGTAAGAGAGTTCGCAGCGCCCTCTTGCATGAACAAACATTGAAACCGATGGGGCGGAGCTGGAGGGCTCTCGGAATCGCTGCTCGTTTTCCAAGTGATACAACATGATGCGGCTCGCTCGGGCTGCTATCGACCTTGCGTCTAGGGTGAGAAGAGGAGCCGGAGAAGAAGATGCCCAAGGTGTCAAGAGGAGGACACATCGACGACAGCAGCAGCTGTGGCAGCGACTGAGCGCGGCTAGCGTTGAAAAGTAGTAAAACGAAACCGAGTCGTTTATTAATATTATCATTATTACTATTACTACTACTACTACAACAATCATAATGCATAATATGTGTTTGTGAGTCGAGTCGAAGAGTATCGAGAGATGTTACATGATTCCAAAGCGAGATGTCTCAACCTTTGAACCGTTCGCATCCGGTGTTATACGTATATATAAATATGTTACGTGGTATCTTGTATAATCGGTAAACAATAATCATGATGCAGAGGTTTTTTTTCTTCTCAATGCAGACTCAGAGGGTTGGTGGAATCGTGGCCACTGTCTTACCAAGATCTAATCGGCAAGTTTCTCCGTCGAAAGGGGCAAAATTTATGTCGAAAAATCGTACATCAACGAATCAAAATTCGAGAGCCGGTGCTTTGGAAATAAAACAAGTTTTGGAGGAGAAATTAAATTTTTACTTGGGCAACGAAATCGGTAGCGATGTGTGACGGACGGTCGTACCTTTCGTTGGACATCGCTACCCTCGGTCAGTGAAACTGATGGATTTTCGTACGTCATATTAAATAAGTTTAAGAATAGAGCTCGTGTGGAGTAAAACTTTTTGTACAAGTCGGAGAAGCTCCGAATCGATCTTGGTACTCAGCGCCCTCTGTTAAATCGAAATACTACTTCTCTCGGATGTCGTTTGGTGAAATGAAACATTGCTTCTGGATAGGAAAAGTTAAAGAAAGACAAATATCGAACTGACGATCGCACGAGTGATGGAGACGCGTGAAATGGGCATATCGCGTATTTTAATAAAAAAAAATGAGACAAAAGGAAGCGACGGGTTATTGTACAGTTTCTTCGTCACTCGCGCAAATTTCTTTCATTTTTCCTATTCAGGGTTGCCGTGAAATCGTAGGATCTCACGAAAAAAATTTTCGAAAAATATAGGCATTGAACAGGTATTGAACATTAAGATTTAAGATAGAAAAAGAGAGAGAGAAGTAAAATGTATATAGTTTTGTTCTGTATAGGCGATTGATGTGTTAAAATATTGGTGCAACGTCAAGTATATAAAAATATTCGAGGTAAAGAAAGCTCTGGTATCTACATAAGATACTTGTCGCAATAATATGATTAATCACACTGAACCATTTATATATAAACATACATATATACTTAGTGAAGAGAGACGAGCTCCGGACCCAAAGATTTTGTGGGCTCGTCTTTCTTCGACATTTATATCAAACACACCAAAACACTATTCTTTGACTACCGCACATGTATACAGGGGGGTCGAATGGGTCTTTTGTATTACCATTATTATTTTATTTATATTTCAAGCGATTATCGAAAGAGATGGGTAAAAAATTTATTTTAGTAGATTTTATTTTTAAAACAGGACTGTTTAATTAGTAAGATATCTTCGAGCATCGCAATTCTTCGAGATAAGTGATTTATAAGATGTGAGAAGACTTAAAAATTTAATTGAAAAGAAAGTCATATGAAAAAATAAATTCGGCGGCGTCCTAAGGGTGAGGGTGACATTAAAAAATAAACGAACAAAAATTTTGGAGAAAAATGTATACTAACTAGACGCGGGTACGTATTTATATAGAGTAGAATATATAAAAAATAAAATATATTATATAAATATATATATATATATATTAATTAAAAATGGTATATATTAGAATCCCAAAATGGTGGAACGAAACGAAAGAGGAAAAAGTTATTTAATGAGGACGTGGCGTCGTTTTGAAGGGCGTCCTGTTAAATTTCGGCGTGTTTTATAAAAAAATTTTTGAACAAAAAAAATGTAAACAAATTTTAGTATACAAAACAAGTGTTGCATGAAAAAAGTAAACACACGTACAGCACATTATAATTAAGTATCACTCGCAAAAGCAGAGTTAGACACCATATACAACGTGAGAAGTGCCGTTCGGTGCCACCTACACTTTACAAGCCGTACGTATCGGATCCCTCTGATTTACCGGGGGATTCCCTTCAAAATTTGTAGATAGAAGTTTAAAGAAAGAGATTTATAAGTATACATTATATTTATATTTATTAAAGAAAAAAGAATATGTGGTTCCCACGTGCCCACGAGTTTTTATTGTAATTATTTGATATTTTTTGCTCAATTGAATATAAAAAAAAAACTTGGCTTTCGACGACGACTAGCAATGACAAAAGTTCAAAGAGTCGTCGACGAAAGAAGCACCAAACGTACAGCTCTCATTGCTGACGTAATTTAGGTACATCCAGCGCCAGACACAAGAACACACGCATACACATTTACAACATATTATGATTTTTAACTACTGCGCGATTTAGTTTTATGATATTTTTCTCATTGCAATCGGCTTGTTCCTCCAATTTATAATTTCGTCTTTATTGCGTTGATTTTTGTTTCACCCGTCCCACCCTAGCGCCTCGCTGTACATTTAGTTATAATTTGTAATTATAAACATTATTTTTATCGCATAGTGATTGATTATACAATTTTATTTAGCTTATCACCACGCGTTACACACTTTTTTTGCAAACGGTGAGTCTTAACCTAGTCACGAGTCACTATTGTTTTAATTGATTATGAGTCGAATCCTTGATGATTATTATTATTATTTAATTTATTATAGGTCGGCGGTGACTCCGAGA